TTGATTTACTGCTAGTAAAAAACTAGCCTGCATAGAAAACCCGCAAAATATATTTCTCAACCAAACTGCATGCAATTTGTTTAGGTCCAGGCAGAACCAATGACCATGTTTATTTGAAACAATCCACAGGTTCAAGCACATTAGCCAGACGAAATATGTGGCAGTAACCAGGGGACAAAAAATTCTCCCAATCAGTAGTGTAGCTCCCAGATAGCTCTGATCAATGATAGGACCGAATAATAAAAATATTCGTGCTCATGCATAGAAAGACTTCGAGATTGATGCACGGCCAACTATTGTGACAAAAAGAAGTGAAACCATTGAAAAGAAAACCCATTACAAGCACACACCAGACGTACAAAAATGTTCAAAAAACACTCAAAAATGCGGAAGTAAGGTGATGATTAAAGCATCACACTTAAAAGATATGTAAAAACATTGCCAGGTGTTGCAGAAATAGACGTGTAGAGTAAGCAGACAAAATGTGACTTTTGCTTTGGTGAATTGTGAGTGCCTGACAAATTGCAAAATTATTATCGCAAAAAATCAAATACTTACACTAACTTAATTTTCTATGCGTTATTGACTTTATTTTTGGCTGAAATAGGCTTTTAATATCTAATCCAAAACCTTACTTGCCAATACAATAACAAGAAAGCAAACTTGAGGACAAGGAATAAGGGCTTGATATCGGTGAGATTGTTCTTCAGGCATACATTACAAGCTAATTGTGATATCGTGTCGATGTATTATCATTCACAAAGGCGAGGAAACATGATAGGGACTGGAAGTAAAGGGAGCAGAACCTTATTTTGAGGCTCAAGGAAATATTAGTGCACAATTGGCTATGTCCTCGAATTGATTTAAACGTATTAAAATAAAAAAAGAACAAGTTTTATCTCAAGTTTATTAGGAGGCCACTAGCGTTGTGCGGTGTCCCAGCTAGGGTAGGTACACATGCAAAACAGAAATACATACACAAAAATGCAGAAACCAAAGCTGTTTTCTGCCTGTATCGTTGTAGGCTTTGCGGAAAAAAAATCGCTCACAAGCATTATGAGCAGCAGATAACAAGGATGCCTTATGAATATCAAGTCGGGGTAACTCCACCGCGTGTGGCATATTACATCATGTCTCGAGGTTCATATCTCTAAAAAGTTTTAATTTGAATAATGGACATTGACAAATAATGAACCATTCGTAATAAAAAAAAAGCTTGTGGCACGAGCACGGATTTTCCAATAAAAGATGTATAGAATCTTTAAGGCACACCTTGCCTTGCTCAGTTATCTGGATTCCACTGAAATGAACGAGTTACTGAAAAGTGAACAAATATATACTGTCAAGGGTAATAAATGGACGCAAAGCACTTTGCCTATTTTTGTTTTCAAATTCCTCTGCCACGAGGCTATAAATTATATAATCATATAAAAAATGTACTCGCGTTCTGGCCCAATTGTGCGTTTTAAAAATTTGCATAGAGGATAATTTGAAAAAAAAGGTTGTATTTAACTTTTTGGGCACTAGTTTAACTAAAGTGCCTTCGGGTGTTACAGAATTACAAGGGACGAATTAATGAACCGTAGTCAGTTGGCTACTATCTACGCAAAGCCTTCAAGGATACGCAACAGATGTTGCCAATTTCACAACCACACAAGTTTGCACAAGGACACAGATCAAGAGAGACACAAAGACAGTTTTGTTAGTGTTTGCAGAAAGGCATTCATGCAGCAGCAGAAGTAGAAACAGCAGCCGCGGCAGCCATGGTGGCCAAGTGCAAACATGACAAATTAATGAATAAATATCGTAGCACAAAAGGGTATCACTCCCAAAGACTCAACTCCTAAAATTCGGAAAATATTTACAGTGAGTACAGGTGGATTCGTGAACAATCCGAATTATATTCCACCTTTGAATGTCCCCGGGATGCATGCACGCTTCTGAGTGCTTAATGATAAATTTTTATTATTAGAACTATTTCGTGGTCAGTTATTTGATTCCTCTACTAAATCTATAAAAATGGCTCTGCAGCGTAAGGAAAGCAAACGCAATAACATATATAAAAAATTACAAGCTCACAAATTAACCTGGTCGATATCCGAAAATGTTTAATGTAAAAATTTGAAAACATCTGGTGACCACTTTCTATACCCTAGCGAAACAGAACGTTAGGCTCTGACTTCCAACTCCGCCTTGACAATGTGTCTCCGCTATCAATTATTTCTTATAGCCTACCACACATATTACAACATATCCCGCAAACACACTCACCACACATCTTGAAGCAGTGTGCGTGCATTCGAACTTCAAAAACGCAAACCATAGTTACTATTCAGAATTTAACGAACGATTTCTACGCCTGTTTACTGCAGTTTATCATAACTGACTGACCTCAATGACTTAAGTTTGAGGTCAAAGTTTGGCATTTAAAGAGACTATATTTAAAACCCGAAATATCAGGTCTGCGAGGCACGGAAGACTCTCCTGAAACCTTGGGCCGAAACGTTACGTCGTATTTCGTTACCCCCGGTCCTGCGTGGTTTGGTGAAACAGTATAGTTGGTCGGGGCTAGCCTCTTCGCATTTCCATAACCTCGTTGTCTTTAAACAACACCTACAAGACAACAAGCCCATGACGGTGAATTTCCGTGGGGTCCAAGCCGAACGCAGACAGAACACTCTAATCCAATCTGCGTCCCGCGCCGGTGTCTGGTAGGTAACTTAGGAAATCCATCCCCACAGGCTTATTGTCTAGCACGTGCCGCTCTAGAGGGCCCAAATTGAAAAGAAGCGTCGCCTCTCATGAGATGGGTCAGATCTACCCTTGCGGCTGATAGTCCTTTTCACGCATTTATGACCTTCGGTCAAGTGAAATTTTATGTCATACGCAATGCTGAAGCACCCTCAGAGTCAAGGGATTGTATTAACGATGCACATGCGTCATACCGTTCGGTGGAGTTCACATCTTTATTTACGGGTTATCATACTATAGTTTCCGACATTGAGACTATTTCGCAGACACATGCGAGATGTTCTTCAGATTTAAAATCCTTCAAACATTTCGCATTTTTGTTATCAACACCATTACGCTCAGTTACCGTGCCTGGAACGTGTATCCGACTAGTGTGTTTGAAGAGTTACGCGTCCAGTACGTTGCACTGTCCTTCAAGAGACAACAAATGACAGCGACAAGAGTTTTGACGAACTGGATCAGATGGTCGAAGCTTTTGTTTGCTTGGTCGAAGATCTCACGCAGCGGCAGACCTACGGGCGTAAGTTGTCTGCGGCCGTTCATGACTGCTGGAGATGTATTGGGTGACGGACTCGCAGGGAGTATTCACGGTCGGAATGGCTGTGGGCGTTGGAGTTCAGTTCGTGCTGACAGCGAGCGTTCACCGTTTTTTGTCGCACCATCCAAAATTTGTTTTTCGAATACGATTCCCGTTCATCAGATCTGTCTGTGTTGTGAATCAATACAATTTGTATCATATCGTTGTAACCTATAACTTTCTTTAGCCACAACTTGTACTGGTGGCATCATGGGAATATATCGCTAAATATTCGTTACGCGTGTTCGTGTACATGTCCAAGTTGGTCCAATTTTTGATACAAAGAAACAACCAGCTCAACTTAAGCCGTGTCACGGGTCGACAATATTTGAATATTCCGAAGTTCACCTCAGGCGTATAATAAGTCAGTGATTCAGGTAACCATTATGACGATTGCAACGACCTCAATACACCTTTATACCACTGGGGATCTATGATGCGACAGCGGACGGAAGAGTATAATTTCTTGTAGAGTGCCTACGCGGCGGCATCAGCAGTCACTATAAGTGAGGAACTGAGCTAGCTGCTTTAATACGGCCTTAATGAGACGCGAACTGCGGAGGGCCTACCTTGCAATACATGACGCGCCATCAGGAGGGCCCCTTGGTTCCCTGTACCATCTGGAGAACCCCTGCATCATCAGGAGCTTCCAGGTGGTACAACATATATCGCAGCATGTATCGCAACATATATCGTGTTTAAAAAAAAAAAGAATAAGACGCTGGTAAGGTGGCGCTTGCCGCCGTTTGACTTCAGGGCTTAGTCGTAAGCATCTATCTTTCCATCCAGTCACGAATTTAATCAGCGGCCGATAGAACATTTCGATTTCCAATATACTAAGACGCTGTTCACCTTTCGCTTGCAGGGACAAGCGGTGGCGTGACAAAAGGCAAAACCTTTAAGAATGCCATCGAAGTCGTTTTTCTTTTTTTAGTGGATGACCCCAAGGATTTGCCGAAGACGCTCACTTGACACTCATCAGGAGTAAATTGATCGAGCAAGTTAAACTCACCTGCAAAAGACGCGTTCCAGGCACCCGATTGAAGCACTGAACCATTCAAAGTGAGCCATTGCACCGTTTAACAAGAATGCCTGGAGCGCGTCCTAGAAAGTGGTTCCTCGATTACCGCCTGATGATGTCCTGGTGGATTTAGTAGACACCTGCACTACTCCCTCTCCAGATTGACAGTCCATTGAAGTTTCAGCAGTCAGAAACTGAAACTCCGCAACAGCGACCATCGCGTTCGCTCACACATTTTGTCGCTATACTTCCAACAACTGCCAGGATACGGCACACAATTTCGTCTGCTTCCTTTGCAGGGGCTGTGGCAACTAAAGAACGCCGTGCTCTGGCTCTGATTGAAGAATAGTGGGTAGGCTTCAAAGTAAGCTGTCTTGAGACCTACCCACTATCCTTCATACAGAGCCAATGAGAGCTCGGCGTTCTGACGTCGCCACAACCCCTGCAAAGGAAGCAGACGAACTTGCGCTCCGCATAGTCATTTGTTGCCACATCGGGACCATTTATCGAGTATGGGCAGGATAATACGCCAGACACACCACTCAGAGACGCGTTCCAGGCACAGTAGTTGAGCAATTTAGAGCGGGCCATTGAACGTATAAACCACTGAATCATTCAAAGTGGCCATCCGGTCACGGGAACACGGCTCACCTTGCGGGTCAGGGTTGGGGCGGGGCTCACGCAGCTGCGACGTCGCCTGCGTCCGTTGGTGGGACTCGGGCCGTCGTTGCGAACAAAGCCGCCGCCGCCTCCCTGGCGCGGGACGTGGAGCAGGGCGGAGCCCGGAGCCGCTCCGGGGGCCGCTCCAAGAACCGCAGGGGCGCCGCTCGCCGTGCTCCGGTCGCTTGGGGTTCGCGAAAGCCGCGACGCCGCACCGGGGGACGGCTGCGAGACATGACACCGCTACGATGGAATGGCTTCGTGGCCGTCCCCGGGAAAATATTTTCGCACCACGCATCCCTCTCGCGTATCTGAGAGCCTATAGAAAATGGTCGTGGTGAACCAGGAGCAAAGAAAAAACGAGACGGACAACACGAAGCAATGAATGTGTCGTCCGTTCCGTCCCTCACAAAAAATATTTCAGGCAGTCTATAAATTCATATCCACGTTTTGAAGACTTTAACTTCCAATCCAGTCAGGTCCTAACGACAATCTTCAATAAACTTTCTATGGTCTCTCTTTCAACCGAATTCTATAGAGTACGGACAATAGAAAACGCTATAGAATTTTTATCGCCACTTCTCAACAGTCTTGTTATCACCACATTTCTATAAAATTACGAGAGACCAGAATCGATGGAAGAATAAAATGCAGTGCGGAGAAACATACCACCCGGTTGGAGCCTCCTTGTCGATGCTGCTTTTTTCGATTATTTCAAATAATTATCGCCTCTCGCAATGCTTTATAGGATGACATGTAGTTCACCAACCATTATAAACCATATTTCGTATAAATTATGTGCGACAAAAACGACATACTTGTAGTCTTTTATGTCCTGTGTTTGTCCTCGTTCAGGTGACTGTCTTTCAAGTGTAGGGTATACATAGCAATGGAGCAATGAACACTGCTGAATTTCTAGTGTTATAAGTGCTCCGTGGCGTGTGTATTTCTGATGTCTGCGTATCTGCACGCGGCCAGTGGCGAGTGCATGTTTCCATAAATGTATCGTGACAAACATAAAAGCAATATTCACATTTAGTTTTCGCAAAAAAAAGTTAATTATTGTTGTTAGGAAGGGAATAAAAATGTTGTTAAAATCTCGATCTGTTTTGCTTACAATTGTTTACAATTGATAAGTCATGGCATACCTAGGCTCCAAAGAAAAAAAAAAGGACACGTACGACACGTTTTCACAATTTGAATGAGATTCTAGAGTGGTCTGAGATACCATGCCGACTTCTACGTCGTTTCAAAGCTCGTTGTAACTCTAGTCGTCCTAAGACTAGGTTGGATAAGGTTGGTTACTTTAGGTTACGTTTATCTATGGTCGGTGAGGTTAGGTTAGGCTAGTTTGGGTTACGTTTTATTATGATGGGTAAGATTAGTTTTAATCAGGTTAGGTTAGGTTGGGTTAGGTTACATAAAGTTATGTTATGTTGGGTTACGTTAGGTCAGGTTAGGCTATATAAGACTACGCTATATAAGAGGATTCGGCTAGGCTAGGTTAATTTAATTTAGGTTATTTTTATGTTAATTGTGGTTCGTTTAGCGTAGGTTAGGGTAGGATAGGGTAGGTTTAGTTCTGGGTTTGTTAAGGGTAGGTTAAAGCGGATTTAGGTTTAGGCTTGGGTTTGGCAGGGTCAGGTTACTTTAGGTTACAGTTAGCATAGGTTTAGGTTAGGGCACGCTTAGGTTTGATTTAGGTTATGGCTGGGTAGGTTAGGGTCAGTTTAGGCGTGGATTAGGCTAGGTTAGGTTAATTCATGCTAGGGTTAGGGTAAGTTTAGGTTTAGGTATGGGTTGGCGTTGGGTAAGTTTAGGTTCGGTTCGGTTAGCGCAAGTTAGTTTAGACTGGTTGAGGACTAGAGTTTGTTGTTTGGCCCCAGCGAGGCAAGACCGTGGGACGGACCGTGGAGCGGCCCCCGGAGTCGGCCGAGGATGAGGAGGAACAGGGCGGGGGAAGGTGCAACGCCGTGAGGGGCGAGAGCCGGTGGCCGAAATCTCGAACCAGGGACATCTCCAGGGTGGCGCTGGGAGAGCCCTGCGGGGTGGCCGCCGTGTGTGTGATGATCGGGGGAATGCAGGAGAGCGCCATGGCCGGCTCCTCCGCCGCGTCCGTCTTGCATCCGCATGCCGGCTGGGACAACATCCGCGTTTCTGCACGGGGACCACAGCGGCGTCACGATGGTGGTCTTGTTGTTAAGACGAGGTTATTATCCCCATTCCCGCCATTATAATCATAAGCATCATCAGGCTGGGTGGCGCGAGCTACTGCGCTCTACAAAAGATATGGCCTGTACCACCCGTCCAGCTATGCATCCATCCATAGTCATCAGTTATTATACACCTAGGGTGTATACAGGCATTACAGAAAGGTTTAGGAGTTGACATCATTATATCAGAATGAAGAAACAAAATGCTAACAAAAGGCTGCATTTGGAAATAACTTGCTGACGAGGGCATCCTCGAAGCTTACGTGGTGCCAGAAGATCGTTGAAGATCAAACGCTTATATGGAAAGTAGGACAAATGAAAGAAGTCTGTCATTCTTAAGAAATTTGTATATAATGACTGTCAGCTGAAGAGCGCAGGCCGTGACGAATCTTGAAAACGGGGAAGAAGAGAAAGGTGTCTGAACGGGCGCCACTTCGCCACGGAGCAAGCATGTCAAAGATTCGCTTCGAATAATAATAATAAAAAAAAAAAATAAAAGCCGTAAGATGGCGCAGCACGACAGGAGCTCGAGGAACCGTCCTTATTCGCGCGCACGTTTTCAAGGCCAGCGCGCGACTGCGCCTGCGCGCGGCGCCCCACCCCGACAGCGCGCCTGCCGGGAGACGCGCGAAGCAAGGCAGAAATTTGCCCCCCTCCCCCCCCCCCTTTTCGGGTCTTCTTTCGACACCTCTCTCTTCTTCTACTGGGGTTCCGAGCATCGTATTATCGCGTCGAAAGAGATTCCGTTATTAGCTGGTTAGAACGCCAAAGAAGTAATCACGAATCAAAAAGCGCGAGTATAAATCACGTTTCTTCAGCCGTCGAAGACTATGGATAATCCTTCGTACATTACAAAGCACAAAAAAAGAAAAGAAAAGAACACGAGTGTCAACTGTTGTGCGCAATAAGGGGGGAGTTAATCATTGCGCTTTACGACACAAGGCTGGAAAAGTGCGGGGGGGGGGGGGGGGGGGGCGTTACGTCCCAGTGCCCCAGCCTTTCGCGAGTCACCGATCGCGGTGGTTCTTACGCTATGCGCCATAGCGGCGATAGCATCTCGAACAAAAACTTCGCAATATTTGTTACGTAGGACGCAGATCTGTGATACCCTCGCGTTTACCGAATAGTAGAATCGCAAAAAATATTTTGGGTTTTTAACTTTTCGGTCGCCGTTTTACGCTCCACTACTATACCAGAAATTATTCTGGAAGTATTTTCGTTTCCTACGAGATATAGGAGAAAAGTGCTTCGGCTATATTTGCTGCAGCCCCCTTCACACAGTCCACCAGTCTGCGTGAACTGTGCCTCGACAAACTGCTCCGTTTCGCTCTATAGGGCGACCGCGGCCGACGCTACGATTTGACGCCGATCATCAGCAGCAAAAGTGCATCGACACGGCGGTTAACTTCCTTTTGCTATCACACCGACTGAACCGATCACGGAGAGTGAATGCGAGGCAATCCTGAGCTTTTTTAATCCGTGTGATTCATTTAGCCGGTGACGGCACGCCCACAAAGACGTGACGTCATGACCAAGTCCGTGACGTTGCACTTTTGGTGCAGCTTCATTAGCGCTATTAGACTGTAGCGTCGGCCGCGGTCGGACTTGGAGTAAAACGGGGTATAGATACTTCAAGTTGCCAAGGCCGTAACAAAATGCAAAAATATCTTCTTTTCGTTTTTTTATTTTGGAAATAATCGAGAACTAAATACCCGTTGATATCGTCAGCGTGTTCGTAATAACGAGAGAGGTATAAGTTGAATTCGATCAATTCGTAGGTAGGCTCTTTTTATATAATAAGTAGTGTGGTTGATATTTTGTTATATTAATATATAATTTACGAAGGAATTCTCGTGCAGTCTAGAATTCAACATACACATTTATCTTCATGATGTTGCGTCGCGTAGGGAGATTTGTTCCAAAGATCCGAGTGCATTATCTCGTTTCTTTTACGATAATTCCAATAGTTCGAAACGCTCTAATAAAAAACTGAGACGTCTACAGTTCTTTGTAATGCAGGATTAGAGCGCAGCTCTTGAGGAGAAAGAGGGGAGGATACGGAGGTGAGGGACACGTGTGACGTCATTATGAGAAACGTCCCATAACACAAGCGCGGTTACGCTGACGGCGACGGCGTCGCCGCTCAAGCCGGAACGGGCGCCAAAGAGCTGCACATTAAAAAAGGCTATTATTTCTATCACGTTGTTCATTTATAAAGAAAGTTTATTTCATCATAAACAATTACTATTTATCTCCTGCCACGCTTCATAATCTGCCGTTTCGTTTCACATTTATTATTTGGGCAATGGCTACTCATAATTCCACAACAAATTTAAAATCAAGACGTGAGCTCGTTCCATACCTTGTCTCTCATTTATGACAGCTCTCGGGTATTGGTTATCTCGTGCAGTTGCACGTGCTGTTGTGTTATGAGATCCGCAGGGGGAAAACCCGATACCCTTCATGATGTTGTCCTTTGGGTCATCTTCAGCGTCCTGTGAGGCGTACTTTTGATTGCCGTCTGCATCTATGTCCGCAGTGTCCTTCAGGGCCTCCAAGCTCTTCTTGCGGTCACCCTGAAAGAGAAACCTTCGGAGTACAGCACCCGATCGTCCCACTCACCGCCCGCGCTATTGAACCAAGATTTTGGAGGCCTACAGTATCCCAGTCGGACAATATTGGCAGGCCCGCACGCGTGTTTGTAAACGGTAGCCGACACGCGGCATGGCAACGGCGCTCGCGCCGGATTGGCTGCTCCTTAAGGAAGACGCTGTGTCGTCACAGATAGCAACGGACGGTTGCTCTGCCGGCCGGCAGTGTGCGCGTTGTGTGTGTATCACTGGACGCGTTTCGACCCCCGGTTCGCGTCGATTCGTGGCGAAGTAGTGCGCATATCACCGGGGCGCGTTTTACCAGCCATCTAACATTAGGACAGTACACTACAGTGTCTAAGCACAACACAACGAAAATGAAGTTTAGACAAGGCTATGTTTAGGGGAACGGTGTGGTTGCACAAACTCGCCGCTGCAGGAGTACGGGTTTTTTAAGTCACCGATAGAGGCACATCAATTTGGGGGGGGGGGGGGGGGGGGATCTAGTGTTTGGCTACATTTTTCAGTAGAGACACAGCAGGGTTTATTCCAAGTGCAGTACTAAAAAACATTCCATCATTTAAGAGGGTCGTCGATAAAACAAAATAAGAAATGGTTATGCTTCCGCGAAATTCCAGTGAATAGAGTCCTCTAAAAAAGACGCCCGTCTCGAGAGTACTTAATAGTTTTGAGACAAGTGGCCTGACGTCTCATCAGGTCACGTTGCCAACTGGTCAGTTCACGTGACGTCACTTTGTCACGTGGTCACCACGTGGTCGCGTGGTCTCTGATGAAAGCCTTGCCCCGCTCGTGACGTTAGTGACGTTATCTCCGTTCACAAGAAATATACAAACCGAAAAACGAACTCCGCAAGAAAACAAAAGTATTTCTACGTTGTGTTTAGAAAACCTAAAATCTGACTTTAGCAGCCGTTTGCCACTCCAGCAACCTACAGGGATCGCCACAATCGGGCAAATATGGTGGTCTTACACAGTTGGTGCCGTGCCATGTGCCAGTTGAACGCAAATCAATCGGGTTCCAGCAGGCAAGCATTGCCCTCAGAAGAATTTGCCCCGATTTTATTTACAACGTTTTAAACCTGCTGCCATGTGTTGGCATAAGTAAGCTTCCCGAGATTTTACCTCCTTAGAGAAAGCGATGGAAGGACTGCGGTGCTAATAAACGTTGATGAACGCACAATGCCTCGTTTAAAATGTAGCATAGATTACGTTAAGAGCGACCTGGGCAATGCGCTTATACGAGAGTTACAACGAAGTCATTGAAACAACTGTTCCATCGGGACAATCGCCGTCAGCATGTAGTCACGGAAGTCATATTGGACGGGCATAAATTGTGACCTGTTTCGCTCGGTTCAATGTTTTCCCACAAGGTGCCGTCCGTCCTTCTGGAGTCGCGGATGCGGAGTGCAAGTTGTCTATTTCTTGCGCAGGAGTTGCCGTGACGTCAGAACGACGCCAAGCTCTGATTGGCTCCGATTGAAGGATAGTTAGTAAACCTCAAAGCAAGTTTCCTTGAGGTCTACCCACTATCCTTGAGGTCTACCCACTATCAGAGCCAATCAGAGCCCGGCGTTCTGACGTCACCAAAACCCCCTGCAAAAGAAGCAGACGAACTTGCGCCTCGCATAGTCATTGACATGACAAGAACGGCGGGAAGGTCCTCCAGTTGTCCTGGCGCGAACTTCCTGCCTTCGATAGTGCTTCGGCGTCTCGTGCGCCTCGAGCGTGCACGAGCGGCCGAAGCGCGGTGGAAGGCAACGAGCACCTGCTGAAGGCCGGGCGTCTAAGGAAGACGCCCTACCATTTTCGGCTTTTCAGTGACTGTAGCTCGTTCTGTCTTACCATGACCTCCTCTATACTCACAAAGCCTGGCGGTTTGACGACGGAGCCATAGAGTGCCCGGTCGCAGATTTGGAGCGCGAGCATCTGGTAGCACAGAGCATCAAAGAGCCATTTTGTCGGGGAGCCTGGACGTCACCGCACAGCTTTTGCAGCGGCGAGGACCCGAAACACATTTTTCGCTCGGCAGAAGTGTGTTTCGGCGTCTCGCCGCAGCGGGGCGCCAGTCACGTCGCTCTGCACTAATCCGTTCTTTGCCGCTTCACCTTTTCCATTTCGGCGGCCGCTTCTCGTGGCGATCTGCCAGGTTTTGTCAGTATATAGGAGGCTATAGTCTTACACTCAAAGCACAAGATACTTCGGGACGTGCGCACCTCAGCTGAGAATCCCTCGACCAGGATGGCAACGAGAAGATTGAAAAGGACATAGTTTCCGAATGTCATGAGCGCCACGAAGTAGAGGGCCGCCCACGGAGAGGTCTTCTCCATGCCGTTGAAGAGCACGACGTTCCAGTCCTCCTGTGTGAGGATCTGGAAAGAAACAAACACGTTTCAAATCCCGCAAATCATCCGCCTTTTAGTGCTCCACTGCTAGGCACGCGTCCGCGATGTTTTCAATTTATCTTTCGAAAATTCTCGGTTTCGTTGAATACTTTTGTTTTTTGTGATAGAGCCCAGTTGATAGTTCCGACTGGCCAGACTACACCACCCGCGAGATATCTCTAACAGTCTTGAAAGTATATCTACCGGCATAACGACTGTTTTTGTTAAGAACATATCAATCACTTTCGAGCTAAGTAAATCCTCTGCAATATGTTCACTTACAATTCCATGCCAAGCTGCATCAGCATTGAGAAATCTTTTACTACCTAAGGGCTATTTTCGTGATTGCAGCCTCATACTTTAAGATGGCGTTAAATTTGAAGCCGAAGACTAAGTTGAGCCGGAAAAATCACTTCATGCATTTCGAGAGCTCAAGTTCTTCACCAAAGGTGCATTTTAGGGGTGCACGATAACTTGCGAAATTTTAAAGCGCCGTTCCTACCTGCGAAAAATGAGGATTTCTTTGAAATGTTTCGAAGACAGGGCGCCGACACAGGCGAGCGAGTCAGCGCTACTCAAGTGTTGTATTCGGGGCTGCTACAGAGAAGTGACGCAACATGATAACGCAACAGCAGACGACAGAACTGAGCGACGCATTTGCTGCGAGTTTGCATAATCGAGTTTGCGTTTATTTGTTTAAGTTTCGGCAAAGCTCATAAAGAAGCGAAGTTGGGAAACTCCTCCTTCAAACGCGGATTCCTCATATCCACCGGAACCGAGCCACGGCTAGCGAGGTTTGATTACAGCGCCGCTTTTTCGCGGCAAACACATCCCGTCAGTTTGGCGGTAGTGCTTCGATGAGATAGCGGTAGGTAATACGATTTCAGACAGGGGGAGTCAGCAAAAGCTCACCTAGCCGGCAAAAGTATACTAGCATATGTTTTTTTTCTACGTTGCGTTTTTTTGTTTTTTGTTTTTGTTTTGTTTGGGAAGTTCGCGAGGACGTTACAGCATGACGCGACTGCAATATATTTTCCGTTTCGGTATAAAGTATATATATTTTTTATTTCTGCTCTGCCTTCTCTGGATGGGGAAGTTCGCGAAGAAGTCACTGCATGGTGCGACTGCACTGTATTTTCTGTTTCGCAGTATACAGTTCTGGGAGGGCCCGCTGCGGCGAAAAGGGCGGCGCTGCAATGGCATCTAGCTCGGCTCTGAATGACCAGTTGGAGTTAGTTCGTCAAAGCAGACTCCTATCTTAGTTTTCCTACTGAATTATTTAGTAACCTGGAATTTCGGTGTTAGCATCATCTAGAATCATTAATTTTAGATGGATGTTATATGGCACGATGATGAACTTCAATTGACCAGCACGACCGCTACCGTCATGGCGTATTCTTATGTATTTCAATGCACAACCTTCCTTTTCCTATATGACCGGGTTAGTAGTATTAACACTCATTTTATGACTGAGATTTCGGTTCTTGTTAACCATCATCGATTTGTTCCGGGTAGTGGAGGTAAATTCGGGGTGCGGTGAGCGGTTGGGGACGTTGGTTAAATGAAGGGAGAGGTGCCCGTTAAACGCACGTAGCTTAACAGGGAGTCAAGGACTTTCTTGCGGCGCGAATTTTCGGTGGACGAGTTTTTCCATTTTGCGTAGGACTTTGGGCTTGTTTCTCGCGGAATTTGTTCAAGGTCTTAGATTCTTTGCGTCTTCATCTCGTCGTATTTCCACGCAAAGCGCATGCATGTGCCCGGGACTTGGCATGTGTTCCTTTGCCAATCCGATTCGCTGTAGTCCGGCGTAGCCAATTTGTAAAACATCGTCTGTGATATGAATGTTAAGGCAGCTTTGCTTTGCATCCCTCTGCGGTTCGCTAGCTCCCACCTGCTAAAGTGGGGCGCCATCGGGCATGCCTCTTGAGGTAGGACAGCGGCTAGCATTTGTCTACGAACCTCCTCCTTCCGGACTCCCTCCTACTCTGGTTTTGGTGGTGAATCTTCTTGCCTCGCTCGCGTATAGCTGCACGCTTGCGGTATTGTTCACCTTGCCTGGGGCTTATTTGTGCGCCAGGATACACGTTAATTACTTCTACTTTCCTTATTTTTTAACTTTAAGGTATTTTTATACAAACGCGACGTTCGGCGCCGCGTTTCGGTAGCAGCTTCAAAGGTAACTCTAGGTGGGACTTGGCGGCCCACGTCAGCGCCCGGGTTGAAACTCCCAAGAAGGTTTTTCCCATTTTTCATAGGACCTGAGCTTTGAACTTTTTACAAGGTGTCATGCACCATGAAGAGACACTATTTATAAGAATTTGAGCTCCGAACATGCAGGCGCCGACATTCTCCGGCTTATTTTATAACCAACCTCACTATTTATGTCACCCTATACAAGTTTGCAAGTACGGCATCTGAGTGCCGCCATCTTGTTTCTGGTGTGTGCAGATCGTCTGTTACGAGGTGTGACAATTCAATTCCCAGAACGCCAGAAGCGTGACGATGGGGCGGCAAACCAGACAAAGATTTCGACCAGAGCAGGTCCGGACATGTGCCTACTTGCGCTTTTGAGAGACTTTGGCCTTTTTATGAATTTGCTTTTGACCAGGAGATGAATCTGTACGCATTCATATTACACTGTTGCGGGGAAAAGAGTGTCAGAAATCTGGAGGAGCTGACTAACGTCAAGTTTCGTGCAATGTTTGGTAAATGTGCCAGTGAAGCAATAGCCCTGTTAACGATGGTTGTGGTGAACATGCTACAAAGAAATTGATTTGTGTATGTTTGCAGAGACAGTTCAAGCAAGGTCGAGAAGAAGTGCCCCATGTCCCAAGAGGACAGCCAAAAACGAAAAGGGCTGACCCAAATGTTGGCAGAGAGTAAACCCTGGTGCTCTCAGATCAAATATTAGGTATCCGACTGACAGCAGAAAAGTGGAATGTGTACAGGGAAGCAATGTGAAAATTTTTAACCAAGATTTTGGAAACAAAAAGAATTCCTACAAAAATGGTGCCTCGAATTTTGCGTGGATTATCCATCATGACAGTGCCTCTGCGCAAATTCCGTTAAAGTCCCGCGAGTTCCTGGCTAAGAAATACCCTACAGAAATAACTGCTCACACTGTTTCGCTGTCTTAGCCACAACCATCATTAATTTGTTTCAAATTAAAAAAGTTCCCAGAAGAAATATTGACGCGACAAGGCTACTTCAAGGTATTCCTGAAAACAAAATTTAAGAATTTATTCGGTAATGACGCCTCTGTCTCACCACGTGCATTGCTTTACCAGGGTAGCACTTTAAAGGTAGCTTCATGCCGCTGGTAGACAGGTAAGCAAACGTTGTTTTCGCGAGGCAATTGAGGGAATTGAATTGTTACACCTCGTAGTCAAGCCTTGCTAAGGCGCAAACACAATTACCAGATTGGTGCCCCAAAAGAGCGTTTTCCACCCCCGTGGCCAGACTAGCTTTTCAAACACGATTCTTGCAAACGTGTACAGAAACTTGAGCGCGCTTTCGGAAAATCTATTTTTTGTAATTTCATATATATAAAAAAAAATGTCGTTAGCATTGACATATTTCCAAGTATGTTGCTATTATTTTACCTATTGCACGTGCTAAGGAACGGTATATAATATAATATTTATAAAAATAATTAACACCTTCGATTAAAACATCTTAGCGTAAGCTACCGTGCCTATCTTTACAACGTATGCCTGGACATGTTTGCTGAATAACAAAAACGAGTACAAATATCGTTCCAGAGTGCCTAATATCAAAGCTTGTGAGCTAACTGGGTACTAAAATGACGTGAAAAGTGTTGTGTCCAAGTCTGTTTTGGCCAATTTCCTACCTTAATTGTTGGTTTTATTGGGACTGTCTCATAACAACGCCTCAACGTGTGTATTGGCGTTTATCCGCATAACATGAAAGTGTGGAATACATAGAGATAAAAAAAAAAAAAAAATACATGCGATGTTTGTTTACACGGTTGGGAATACGCTCTAAAGTGTGCTTGGAGAGGGATGAAAATTGATTTAAAGGTGTATTTTAACGGCCGGTTTTACAGTGATAAATATGAAGACGTAGGTATATTCCTATTAAAAACTAGAACTAATAATAAAATATACGAAAATTATTAGGTCAAACCTTGACTCAGACGACCGAGTCTGATCGAAGGGGAGATCGGATGCTCATATAGAGAGGTGGTGCCACTTGTTGCTACTGGGAAATGTTGTGACGGCATCGGGCAATGCGATTGAATATTGTCTATGTAAATCTACTTTCGTTTGAAATTAAACTTATACAGTGAAGTCAAAAAACGTGAATAAAATACATAAGGTCAGATGCGCTTGTGCTGGCCTACAGCTGACTCGGCACTGGTTTGTACAATAGGTTTGTTAAAAATCCCTTTGCTGTTGATATGAAAAAAAAAAACGTCGGTGTTGTCACAACTCAAACGATACACGAAACGTGGCCCTTGGTCCACTGTGGCATTCGGCATGTGAGCATTTGCCGTACAAATTTTTGTTGGGTGCTCATTTAATCTGGGAGCCAAGTAACGTCTTAGAAGTTCACACAGAAAAACTAACTACTAAAGCTCAGCCACATAAACAATTTTTTTTTGTAACAACAAGACGACAATTTTTGACATAATCTACAAAATATCTTTGTACTGAAAGAACCTCCAAATTCTTATATATTCCACGCTTTGATTTGGCTCGGGATTCAATACATATTTTTGTAATTTCTGGCACAAAAAAAGAAACGAAACAAAAAAAAAAAAAAAAACATATTGCCGGGTTTGGGAATGATTAAGTCGAAGAAAGTTATTTTCATTCTAAGGAATATATTGGAAACAATTCATTGATGGCTTAAAATTAAATAATTCACTATATAGAAGTGATTGGAGACTACGGTGTTATTTTTCAGGTGTCGAAGGAATGTTCATATTTTGTGTGTGAAGCAGTGATGGTAAGTGCAATTTAAAA